ATCAGGTTGCGGATTCACTTCCACCTGGAGCTGGATTGGGTAGCTCCTGTGGACCAATTAGACTGCTGCATTCTGGACCCTATAGTTCCAGAACCAATCAGACTGCTGCATTCTGGACCCTATTCAACTCAGTACATAACAAATCTACAGACCAATCTTGGCCCGCGAAGCCATTTCCCCCAAACCACTAATCTGTCCTTCACTTCACATTACTGGTGAGGTCAGCTGATGACAGGAGCACAAGATTTAATCCTGCACTGGCTGCATGTCATGTTCCCAGCATGGGACAGGATTGCACATCCAAGGCAGCAGAATTTAATCTCTGCTCAGCATCCCCTCACAGGGGAAGCTGCCCTTTTGAGAAGTGCTTTAAAACTGAAAATGGGACTATGGGGTCTGTCTTAAAGTGTTGTTTGAAGCACCTGACCTCCTTCTCCTTTATGAAGGGGGCTGCTTTTAAAAATGCTTTTGAAAAGTGCTTTAAGGCAGCTGAAACGGGGCTGGGGGCTGCCTTAAAAGCACTGCTTGAATCAGCTTGGGTGCTTCTCCTGCAACCAGGCAGGTGGATTAAAGATTGGAGCAAGATCTTGCACTTAAAAAGGAGAAGTCATCTTTTGTTGTCACTAAAGGAAAGCTTCATTTTTGCAGGCCAGCCACTATTTTATGGTGGATTGGAGGCCACTGGAAATGGCATCGGGGAATTATGGAGGGGGGGAAACCAAACATTTAAAGAATTCCCTATTTATACATAGATGTAGACTCATTTCAGGCAATGAGAATTCTGAGTTCAAATTAGTTATCCCCCTTTATTCCACCTGAAATGGCTAAAATAGATTTGCAGCAACCTTTAATGAGTGCTTTCCATGCACTGCCATCCTAAGGTTGTTCACTTTGAAGTGACTCTCAGTGAATACATTTGGGCTTCCTAGTAAGCATTCATAGGAGTCTCAGCCTTCAGCCAATTGAATTTAGGCTTCACATCCTTTCACCTACATACAGTGGTACCTTGGTTCTCAAACTTAATCCGTTCTGGAAGTCTGTTCCGAATCAATCCGTTCCAGATTTTTAAAAACAACCCCTAAAACAGCAATTTAACGTGAATTTTGCTATTTAATGAGACCACTGATCCATAAAATGAAAACAATACTATACTATAAAATAAATAAAACAGTATTGCAGATGATAAAAACTAAAATTATTTTTTTTCTTACCTGCACTGATGATAGTCATTGTTTGCATGGGGGGCTGTTATCCATTTCCACAGTCATACAATCAATCAATCAATCAATCAATAGCTGAACTGGGATCCACATAGTCACAAAAACAAATTAACTGAAAAAGCCTCAAAACAAAAATCGCATAATAAATACCAAAAACAAAAGCACCAAATATAAGCTCCAAATATCACCTTAGAACACCGCAATCAGAAACAGAAGGCTTAAATTACAATGGGGGGGGGGGCAGGGGATGCAAATTAGCAGCGCAACAGGAAACACAGGGGGACGCAAAACGGAGCATGTTCGGTTTCCAAAAAAAAGTTCAAAAACCTACTTTACTTTGCAGTGTTTAGGTTCCAAGTTGTTGGTGAACTAAGCTGTTTGAAAACTGAGGTACCACTGTACTTCTTATGTTACTGGTGTTATATGAAACTATTGTGCAAGTGCTAGAAATGATCTAATTCAGTGGGGGGGGTTTCCTAGAAAAATAGGTGCCGGTACTCACCCTGAAGTTGTTACAGTAAGTGCCACAATTTTTAACGACGACAAAAAGAGGTGCCTGTGCTGAGTACCCCCTGAAAAAAGCACTGATCTAATTGTTCTTTCCCTTGATTTTCTACCTATTTGCTCAAAGTTATAGGTGCACATCTGTAGTTTTAAAAAAAATGGTGGGGGAAGTATTTTAGATGTGAAAGGGAGAATTGTGTAGAAAATAAAAGTGATGAAGGTCACGTGATATAGGCTTCATGTTATAGGGCCTTACATCCCAAACAATGTAAAATCGGACAGAAATAAAAGAGAAGGGCAACTTTCCTCATCCTTGTTCAGGAGTTTTATCGTCTTCGGCTGTGAGTGAATCTCTCAGATACATCCATTGGTGCGCAAAGCTCATTTGCTTTAACTGACCTTGTATTCAATGCAACACTTTGAGGATTGGACCTATCTGTCTCCAACAGCCCAGCAATAAACTGAAGTATAAAGAACAGAAAGAGGGCGAGAGAGACTATGATTCCTCATAAAGGGCAGTCTGAGTGAAATCCAAATGTCGGACATAAAATGGATGGCATTCTGAAACAGGGTTATAATGTGAGAAAGAGAGCCGATTCCAAACGAATAAGTTTGAAAGATATATAGCTGCGTATGAAACCATCCTCAAGAATCTTTTACACATATATTTAAAAAGTAGCAGGAAGAACCAGTGAAACTGACCCAGTCGGTTATATTCTGCAAGCAAGTCTTTCCATTATTTCGTATGGCCACTGCCAACACAGATGCTTTCTGGCTGGGCCTGCCAGAACTCTCCATGTATTCTGGAATACTTTAAATGTCAAAGCAGGACTGTTGCTTCATGAGTACATTGTTTCTGAACTGCTCTTTAAAGCTCATTCCAACATTGTATGGTTGGAAATCTGTTCGTGCAATAGGACTCCCTCTTTCTCTCTGCCCCCTCTCCAACAAATCTGTCCCAGAGGGTTCCCCAACAATCCAGTAGGATAAGGGGGGAATTTGTTTGGTCCACTTTTCTCAGCAGACTGATCTGCTCTGACAATTCCAAACTTGCTTGCTGATCGGAACTGGATGGTGAACATATTTGGATTTTGCTACGCACCAAAAACACGTGTATTTTTTAATTAAAAGATGCACATGAAGTGCATATTTGATGTATGAATTGCCTGAAAAGTTCATTCAGTTGTACTTTAAAGAATGCATGTTATGTTAAAAGTAAAAATATAATGTGCATTAAAGGTGGACTTTTTCCAAAGAACCTCCAGAAAATGGAGTGCAACAGACCTATGATTGAGTACCAGCAAGATTGAAATGGGATGAAATTAGGCTCTGGAGCAGATTGGAGGGCACATAGGTGAGAAGGGAGAAACGGGAAGTCTTGTTTCGGTCCCAGTTCCATTGATGTTAACTGCTTAAGTTCACCATGGACAGAGTGAAATGAAAATAGAGAAATAACTGCATCAGAATTTTGGAAGAGAGAAATAAGTTAGACAATTGGGACTCCCCCCACTCACTGCCTTGCATAGCCAGCTAGTAAGAATGTGACAGTTTCTGTTCAGACCCATGTTTGTTACATGCAATGCTGTTTCCAGTCCACTGCAGTTCAGCAACTTACAAGTATTTTATTTTTTAGTATAATTTATTTTATTTTTATTTATTAAAATTATACACCTCCCACCTACAATCTCAGGGCAGTTCACAGAATAAAAGATAAAAACGCAAGTAGATAATGTTAAATTATTCACCTTGCTGCCTGTGGAATTATGTAATTAATTGTGTGATTATTATGTTATCTCACAAAATTCATTTCACTGCAACTCACATTTTTTTTTAATGCAAAAGAATTGCAATGCAAACGGGGGGAACGTGATCAATTGTTGTATCATTTGCAGACTGAAAACCGCCGTAGATACTGACTTTATTTGCTAGATTGATTTCTGTTCTGAGCATAGGAAAAATACACTAATATCAGTGATTTCTGCCCCTATTTCCATTTCTATGAGAATTGTCTGACATCTCTTCTACTTAGTTGGCAGCCTGGGTTCTGATATACAGGATAAGTTGGGCTACATTATATCAAAGAACTCCCACTGTTTTGGCTCAATAAATGTGTATTTCTGCAATTTGAATAGCAGAAATACAATACTGATTAGGTCACACATTTATATCAATTCAGCAATAATTAACTGGAGGATTCATTAGAGGCCTCTTGTGTGATCATTGTCACATCATTATAGATAAAATTATTTCCCCGTTGATATATGAATGATGAATTTTTACAATCAGAGTGATAAGAAAGACACCCTCTCTCCACTAAAAACTCATTCAAGATAATTATTTAAAATATGCATTTTCTTTTTGGAGACAGGTGAACTCTATAATAGAGTTCTTACATACTTAGCGTGATCAAATCACATTTGAATGTCTTCCCCATAAGAAAAATATGCAGGCTGGACATTGGTCTTGATACGTCATTTAAAGGAGAAGTAGGCTCAGGGCTTGAAGAAACCACAGGAAATAGCTTAATGAATAAATAAAAATATAGGAAAGACATTCCAACCAAATAAACAGGCATGATCACGAGTCTTAGGAAATAAAACAAGAGAAGTCAAGAGCTATATAGCCCATGACTACATTAGCTTTAGCACTGTTGAGTATTGGAACATGAAACAGATTGCATGCCCTTCCCAGAGCACAAGTAACCTTGAAAACTGGGAACACAATTAAGGTCCTTGGGAGGGAGTAAAGGTAAAGGTAAAGGAACCCTGGACAGTCCACTCAAAGGCAACTATGGGCTCATCTCACTTTCAGGCCAAGGAAGCCATCGTTTGTCCACAGACAGCTTTCCGGGTCATGTGGCCAGTATGACTGAACCGCTTCTGGCACAATGGGACACTGTGACGAATGCCAGAGTGCACAGAAACACCATTTACCTTCCTGCTGCATTGTTACCTATTTATCTACTTGCACTGGTGTGCCTTCAAACTGCTAGGTTGGCAGAAGCTGGAACACAGCAACGGGAGCTCACCATGTCATGGGGATTCGAACCGCCAACCTCCCGATCGGCAAGCCCAAGAGGCTCAGTGGTTTAGACCACAGCTCCACCCGTGTCCCAAATAAACAAGCACTCAATCACTGATAAGTCCACCCACCATTGTGAGGCTCAAAGCAATGAAGATGATGCCTCCCCAGCTGTTGCCATTGGCTGTGGGTTTCTTGTGGTGTCACAAAAGCCCTTGGCAACTGAGTGGATATAAATGCAAGCCAAGGGGAAAGCCCTTTTCTATTTCCAGCAGGACACACCTGGCAATGAATGTGACATTCAGCACTGTCCAGGTTTCTTCCACTTGGAGGAGGCAAACTGAAGAATGGAAGGAGGCAATCCTCAGGCAGTGAGATGCTATGGAGCAATAATAAGGTAAGTTTGCTTGCTTGAAGGCTGCTGGTATCTGTGATTAGAAGGTGGCAGACGTCTCATGATGGACATAACAGTAGCTTCTGGCACAATGGGATCAGCAAGCCCAAGGGGCTCAGTGGCTTTGGAGGGTGTAGAAGTACAGTGATCAGTGAGACTCACGGGTCACTATGATTGTAGCAGAGGTAGAAACTTTAATTCAATGGTCTATTGCTGGAGACCTTGAAGATCTTTCCTTCTTTCAGAATAAATACTTTTCAGTGACTGATGGGTCTCTTGAGAGATGCACTCCACAAAGCCACAGACTGTGCAAGAATTAAGAATGAGGCGCTTGTATAAAACAGATCACAGCCACGTTATCTCTTCTTGCTTAGGAGAGGGTCCCCAGTTATAATCACATGATTGTGAACACAACTCCAACTTGATCTGCTGCTGTCCAGCTAAGGCTAGCTTTCAGCCTACAGAAGCTGAGGCAGCTTGCTAGAACAGCACTACAGTTACATTTGCTTCCCCTGGCTGTTTCTATTTGCATTTGTTGTTTTATTAAGATCTAAGGTGAGGCAGAGAGTTATTGAGATTACCTAGCAGTGAAAGCGCCACCATGCCAGAGGAGAGATCTTGCCATTTTCCATCTAGACCAGAGGTGTCTCACTTTGCCCTGGCAGTACCTGAGTTTCAGGGCTGGTTCTGTCCTTCAAGGACACGTGTAGCCAACCTAGCAGTTTGAAAGCACACTGGTGCAAGTAGATAAATAGGTACCACTCTGTTTACATGCTCTGGTTTCCATCACGTTGCACCATAAATGGTTTAGTCATGCTGGCCGCATGACCTGGAAATATGTCTGTGGACAAACACTGGCTCCATTGGCCTGGGAAGTGAAATGAGTGCTGCAACCCCATAGTCACTTTTGACTGGACTTAACCATCCAGGGGTCCTTTAGCTTTTTTTACTCCTGTCCTTCAAAAGGGCCTCCTAAGTCATTCTCTTTCTGTTTAGTAATCAAATGTGAACACATACAGCTGTTCTTTTAATCAGGTATTTATTATGAAACTGTTGCAAATTGGATGGGTTGCGCTCCCTCTAAAGGATCAGGGACTCAGCTTGCAGGTACTTCTGGGACTACTACTGTCATTCAAGGCTCAGGTGACCTTGGTGGCATTGAGTGTCTTCCATCAGCTCTCACTGGTGGTTCAGCAGCAGCCCTATCCATGACAGGGAAAGTCTAACTTCTGTTGTTTATGGTCCGGGAACATCTAAGTTGGACTGCTGCAGTGCATTATACATCAGGCTGCTTTGCAGACAGTTTACAAACTGCAAATGGTGCAGAATTCAGTGGCCATTCACCATCACAGGAAAAGTGGTACAGTCATACCTTGGGTTACAGATGCTTCAGGTTGCACATTTTCGGGTTACGGATGTGTCGAAACTCAGAAGTACTGGAACGGATTACTTCCTGGTTTCAGTGCTTGTGCATGCGCAGAAGCATTAAATCACACTTTGCGCATGCGCAGAAGTGCCGAATCGCAACCCGCACGTGCACAGACGCGGTGCTGCGGGTTGGGGATGCTGCAGGTTGAGAACGTGCTTCCCGCACGGATCACATTCGTAACCTGAGCATCCACTGCACTTGCCAAACTTTTCCTTGCAGCAATAATTTCTCTTGCATCCAGGGGTTTCTCTCTGCTGATAGAAGGAATCAGTGGAGCAGGTGATGGTGGTAATTTGTGGTGATTTTAGTGATTGGTGAATATCCTAATTTGGGCCAGGGGGGTGCCCCAACAATGAAAGGAGATTTTTGGGAGAATGGGACTACGGGGAGGAGGGAGAAACCTTTCTCCCTCTCCTGCTGTTGATAGATGCGTTCTATCAGCAGATGGGACGCAACCTTAAGAGTAGAACTGCAAGTGAGGTTTTAAGAACTAAAGAAATCATCACACAAATTGTATTACTTTCCTGAGGAAACTTCATTAAAATACTAGATCAAGCTGCTCACCACTGAACAACCTGCCCAGTTGCTAAAGATCCTGTGGTTAGCATGAATGGAAAGAAGAACCATGTTACATTGTTACGTGCATTGAAAAATCAACTGGCTTTGAAGAATTTCTGGGCATTCTCTTACGTTCTAATTAGATGTTTCCAACTAACAAATGCCACTGAATTCCACCCAACTTTGAGCTTTCATCTTAAAAACATTGTCCACCAGACCTGAAATAGGAATCAGAAGTATAGAATGCTATCCCTGTTTGAAACTCATTGTGTTAGATGTTTTGAATGGTGCGATAGAAGCACAAAGCAGTTGTAGGCGTGTGTGTGTGTGTGTGTGTGTGTGTGTGTGTGTGTTTCTCTTTCTTCCATATGATATTGCTTATTGTTTTCTGCTCTAAAAATATTAAGGAGAAACCACACACACAATCAGGAATTGGCCACATTGAAGAAACCCTTTTCTTTCTCTCTCTCTCTCCCCCATGGCTTTGAAACAAACACCTCATTTGATTTGTGGATCTGGAGCGAAGACAGCTGTGACAAATTCCAGTGACAGATTATAATTAAACTCCACAGAAAAGGGGCTCAGTAACAAAAAGAGAAAAGGATCATAGAAGCCTACTGTCAACATATATTTTTCCTCATACTGATATTAAAATAACAAAATGTACTGACAAAAGGAGCTGTGGCAATGCCATGTGGGCGGCATGTTGCATCCAATGTGTTAAGACAGGATTTTAACACTTTGCTCACACATGTTGCTTGGTATAAGAACTCACGCTTTTCTATTGCAGTTCCCATCAGAAAATGACGTACACAACCTGATTCAGCCTCGGTTTGTATAACAATGGGCGGGAGCAGGTTCATGTCTCCATTGTGCAAACGCACATAGGCAGCTTTCCATGAAATTGGGAAACCAGCCTTTTCAACTGTGATGGCCTCTGTGTACATATAAAGGTGTAAAGCGGGGATGCGGGTAGCACTGTGGTCTAAACCACTGAGCCTCTTGGGCTTGCCAATCAGAAGGTTGGCGGTTCAAATCCGCACAAGGGGGTGAGCTCCCGCTGCTCCGTCCCAGCTCCTGACAATCTAGCAGTTTGAAAGCATGCCAGTGCAAGTAGATAAATAGGTACCGCTCTGGCAGGAAGGTAAATGGCGTTTCCGTGCACTCTGGTTTCCGTCACGGTGTTCTGTTGCACCAGAAGCGGTTTAGTCATGTGGCCACATGACCCGGAAAGCTGTTTGTGGAAAAACGCCAGCTCCCTCAGTCTGCAAGCGAGGTGAGCACCACAACCCCATAGATGCCTTTGACTGGACTTAACCATCCAGGGGTCCTTTACCTTTACCTTAAAAGGTATGTTGCAGACTTGCCCACAAAATAATGCACAAACAGCAGAATACAGAGCCTGTTGCCTCTTGTCGTACAAGCAATTCTGTGAACTGGGCTACTGTTGATGTCAGGGGTTCTTAGGCAAAAGGGTTATTAGCTGATGTCTTGTTATCCTCATCAGAAGGAAACTCCATTCATTACCTGGCAAGCCCAATTACTGCATAGTGCCCACATCACAGAAGCATCTGTAAACATCAATGTACATGCATCTGAAACTCCAAATGGACCAGAGGTCTCAGACATACTGTATATACATACATGGATGTTTCAAGTCATATGCAGAATGTTCGTTCTTTACACACCAGTATATTTTCAATGTAAAGTGTGGGGCTGCTGATTCTTGCAGATCTTTGGGGCCTGTCCATTTGAACTATTATTTTGAAGTTAATTAATGACATGGTATACTGCAGAAACCCCAAATAGATTGTAGTACTACCATAAAGATTTGGTCGATGGCACTGACCTTGACATTATTGTTAATGCACCTAACAGCTTCCAAAATGTAAGTTGCAGCTAGCTGGAGAATGTCAACTGCTCATTTCTGAATGCTATGTCAGAGGGTGAAATGCTGCAATCTTTTCAAAATGGGTCTACCATAGAAGATCAGCCAATGGACGACAGGCAGACATATTCACAGACAGGTGGGCTTTATTTGCAATCCTTTGGAGCAGCAAACATAAGGAAGAGAGTCAACAGTGCTTCTTTTCCTTATTGCAGTGCCTTTTTATCTGATTCTATCATGTAAGGCAGGGGTCAGCAAACTTTTTCAGCAGTGGGGCAGTTCACTGTCCCTCACAACTTGTGGGGGGGCCAGACTATATTTTGGAAGGGGGGGAAAAGAACAAATTCCTATGCCCCACAAATAACCCAGAGATGCTTTTAAATAAAAGCACACATTCTACTCATGTAAAAACACCAGGCAAGCTGCACAAATAACCCAGATAGATGTATTTTAAAAAGGATACATTCTACTCATCTAAAAACAGGCTGATTCCTGGACCGTCTGTGGGCCGGGTTTAGAAGGAGATTGGGCTGGATCCGGCCCCCAGGCCTTAGTTTGCCTATCCATGACGTAAGACATCTTGAATGGGTTTCCTAAAGGAAACCTCTACATATTTACATAAATAAACATACATAAATACATAAACAGATAAAAAAGACTAAAAGGGAAACTTTTTTTTTTTTGGAACACCTCTCTCTCTTTGTGTGTGTGTGTTTGTGTGTCCTTAAAGTCACATGGTTCCTCTCTCCCTTGCTGCTACTGTTTTGGGGATAACCTCTAAGGCATCAGACCTCTGTATCTGGATATTAACTTGCACAATCTGGTACCCTGACCACCCTGTGGATCAAGGCACTTTCACCATTGCATTGACTTTCTTTCCTATTCCAAGAAAAAGTCTGTCTTGAACCTGTGGTCAGACTCCCCTTCCTCAGAGGATGAGGCTGGGGATTGAGATTGGGAAAGGGAATATCCCTCAGATGCAGATACTGAACCAGAAGCACTTGCCCCAAAGGCACCCATTTTGCCAGGACCTTTCTGACCCGAAGACTCCAGCTCAGAAGACCTTGGGCAATCGCAATCTTTCCTGCTCATTCAAAGTCAGTGATTGCTAATGCATGCTGTGTCCCTTTAACTGAAGACAGTTCTCTCATGGAAAGTAGAACTAGGTGCAGCACCTATTTAAAGCTCAGTTCCAGGATGACTGCTGCTGAAACAACATTTGAGCTCGTCTTCTCCAGAGCTCTGCATGGAGAAGCCTTGCTGTTGCTGCTGAACCCACTGCTCAAAAAGAACATAACCCTAATTTGCATTTCCTTGCCTTTGCAGTAGCACAGGCATGTCAAACAGGTAGATCGTAGGCTCCCCTAAGAAAAGCTCAACAACTTTGACCTGAATCCCAGGGCTAGATCACTGCCAGTCCTTATGTCTGTGAGTAGATCACAGTCCCTTGGAAGTTGGCCACCCCGAACTAGCAGAACCAGTCATCAAAATCCACTGAGGATGCAATGGCATGGTCCCTAGGAGATGGACCCAGAAGCCATTAGATGTGGGCTGTCCTCTGAGAGGGAGATCTCACAAGGCTCCGGCCAGCTGTTATGGAAACCTCAACAACCCCTGCTTTACTAATGTCAGAGCTGTATTATTGGTTAGTAGTGACAGATCAGGGGATCACTTGAGTCAGAAGGATCTACAGCCTTCCTATTTCCTTAACACACCCTGAACCAGGAGATTGAGACCTAAAGGAATGTTTCCACCCCCATCGTTCAGTCCGGACACTGAGGTCCAGCTCCGAGGGCCTTCTGGCAGTTCCCTCACTGCGAGAAGTGAGGTTACAGGGAACCAGGCATAGGGCCTTCTCGGTCGTGGTGCCCGCCCTGTGGAACGCCCTCCCATCAGATGTCAAGGAAATAAACAACTATCTGACTTTTGGAAGACATCTGAAGGCAACCCTGTTTAGGGAAGTTTTTAATGTTTGATGTTTTATCGTGTTTTTAATATTCTGTTGGCAGCCGCACAGAGTGGGCAGAGTATAAGTAATAAATTATATTATTCTTATTCTGGCATACACATTCTCCCTCTTCTTAGAAACCATGTAATGAAAATTGTAAAACGAAAAAGAAAATCCCAGAAAGGGAAAGAAAGAGAGAATGAATTTTCTCCCCACTTAACCATCCTGCTGCCTGTCTGGAAGGCTTTGTAAGACTTGGATTCTCTGCCCCCGCCCACCCCGCCACACACATTCCTGGTGGGATTGCTCTGCCTGGAAGCTTTTTGCGAACAAAGTAAGTATCCATTTTTGTCATGTAATGATTTTATTGCCAGTGACTTTGGAGACGGTTAAAAAACACACACACTCCCTAGGAAAAATTACCCTTAAGATCAGCCTGGGCAACCCTAGTGGAATTTAGTTCACCAGGATATAATAGATCACCTTCCTGGCTGAATTAAGTGCATTGACAGATTCTTGGTTATCTTTCTACCTTCCCCAAATCTCATGTTAACAGCTTGTATATGAACCTTTTAGTGAATAACTAAAGGCTTTGAAGGTTTACAAACAAATCTTCATGTTCAAATGAATTGACCCAAATGAATAGCCTATCTACAGCTTGAAGAGTCCATCTAACAATGCATATTCTATACTTACAAACTGGCTGAAATCTTTGCTGCTAGGCTTGGGGGCTTTGGCACAAGAGAACAGGCAACTGTTTAGCAAAGCTGAAATCTTTGCTGATGTACAATTTTTAAGAAGAAACTGCAATGCAGATAAGAGCCTTGCCATGTAAACTGCAGGGCACTGGGCCGTGTGTTGATTGAGTGAGTGCAGAAAATCTAATTTAAACCAAGTGGGCAATTATAGTCCCACAATTGGTGATTACCTGTTCCACATTTGTCTTTAGTGATATTTATCCCTCTCTTTCCCTCTCTTAAGTTTCCATCATAGCACAGACTGCTTTTCTCTTTAAGATACTTTACAGACTTAGCATTTTACTGGTGGCAAATATGAACTGCTCAATGTGGACACAAATTGGCTCCAGCTGCCATCAAACAAAACAGCTTCGAGAATCAAATCTACTACAGCAGCCCCTGTAGGAAACCATTTATTCTAAGGCTTCTATTATTTTAATTGGAAATTCTCTCTGTTTATGCTGCCAAGGATTTGAGACAGTAAAGATTGGCTCCAAAGTGCGTTGCATGGAATTTTAGCATGTTTGCTGAATGATTCCTCCATCCCCTTTTTCTCTCTTTTTAAAAACCACAGTATATTATATATAGGCTTCAGTCTTGCACACAGACTGCCTAAATACCATTGAAGTCAATTGGATTCAAACAGAATTGCAGCTGTAATGTGTAGCTTGTGTTTACTAGTCAAGCAGTGGAGAGAGGTGAAGCTTGTGTTTCCAGCTCTGATCTCAAGTTCATTTTCATTGATTTTTTTGATGCGTGTCCACTTTGACCTCTTGCTTCCTTTTCCATCTCAGTCTTCTTCACTAGCTAAGCCATGACTTTGAACCTGGTGTGAAGAAAAGGACTAAATGCAAAAAGAAGAGGCGGGACTTGTTGATGCTTGAGAACAAGCACGGGGCCAGTGGAAGATTTTCACATCTTCCATATCCCTCCCCTGCAATTTGGGTGAATAGGTATGAATGGGAAACATTGCAAGCTTCTCTGTGGAATCACCCTATGACACTATGGTAACATTTAAAGCCCTGCATTCACATGGGCAACACCAAACACATACCTATATACAAGAAAGTCACCTTGTTGGGATTGACCAATCCTTTTTCTTGCCCCCTGCAGGAATGAATCACAATATAGTATTGTTCTCGTGGGCTATTCTTTTCCAAGGATATAGATGTGCTGCTGAGAGCAGCTTGAAACAGTGTCAAAGGCTTCTATCTTTTTGTAGAAGTGAGTGAGAAAGAGGGAAAGAGACTCAGTAATCTCATATTTAAAAGGACAAAAATCCTTAATATTCACGCATTCCCCTGAAAATTAATCTAATTTACAGAAATTTCTGGGTCAAATACTTCAGTCTAGCACTAGTTGCAATTATTGTGGCATGAAGATACTTTCTGAATAAGATGTTTAATTGCCAAGGCATAAGGCCAAAGTGAATGAATCTTATTCAACTAGAGCAACTAGACTGAAAGGAAAGAGAGAGAAAACAGAGAACTGTGCTATCAACCCACACATATCTGAGCAGATACCCACTTATACTTCTTGAGAATGTATTCCATCTGCAGAACAACAGTAGGTGGCTGGAAACAGTCTTGAAAATTCATTTGCAGTTTAAGAAATGTCAACAAAACTTAAGGATTATGTACTTTAAATGTAACAGTCACATATAAGTAGTCTAACCACCAAGAGATGCTATTGTCAAAACACGAAATTCAAATTATCAGTCTAAATACAATTATTTTGAAGTAAGCGCTATTGACCCATAGGAACCACTCCCAAATAAATCTGTGCGGAGTTACAGTTGAAAATAAGTTTTATGCACATTTAAAACCTGGCAACATTTCACAATTTTTAATGTTCATTTAAAAAAAACCACAAAAACCCACCACCACAAACATCTTAAATTTTGATCCGTGCTGATGACTTTCAACAATTAATTGAAACATTTTTTCTTCCCTAGTAGCTCCGGAACCTAATGTCAGCATTTCAACCCATTAAGGAAGTCTTTCAGAGAAAGTTAGCACAAATTTAAACATATGCAAAGTCAGTTCAGATCATTGAGGGAGCTGGCATTTGTCCACAGACAGCTTTCCAGGTTATGTGGGCAGCAGGACTAAACTGCTTCTGGCACAATTGGACACTGTGACAAGTGCCAGAGCACATGGAAACACCATTTACCTTCCCCCTACAGCAGTACCTATTTACCTACTCACACTGGTGTGCTTTTGAACTGCTAGTTTGGCAGGAGCTGGGACAGAGAAACGGGAGCTCACCCCATCATGGGGATTCAAACCACCGACCTTCTGATCGGCAAGCCCAAGAGGCTCAGTGCTTTGGACCACAGCGCCACCCATGCCCCAGTCTTTACCAGTCTGTGTGCAAGTACTTCCCATAGCCTTCCTCAGGAAAACACTCTCTTAATGCGGAACAAACAGCATTTTGAGTTTTCTGCAGAATTGTTTCCAATGGGTTTTCATGGGGAAAGTGCTGGAGGTAAAAAATAATAATAGCAGCACTCTGACACGGAGCTTTAAAGCATGAACCTGTTTCTAGAAATGCGGCACACAAGGAAGTTCCGATGAGCCCTTAATTTATGGCAGATCCAGCAATGTGTACTTGAAACTACTCTTCTACCCATCTCACAATGACCTCTATGTTTTAAACTAGACTTTTTATTATGTATTTTACAACTAAAGGAGATGTAAGAGGGGCACATAGAGGGGAAAAGTTAAGGCTCTGCTTATAGTCCCATCATTTGAATTGATAGGACACAAAGAGAAAGGAAATTAATCGTAGAAATTGTGTCTTATTTTACGAAAGAAAGAAAGCTGGGGAGATGAAGACAGAAACTGATTGGTACAGAAGTGTGATTCCATTGGATCCAAAGTGTTGGATATGGGTGCATATATTTTTTTTTAAAAAAAGGTTTTCTTTTGTAAAGTACACACATTGTCTCTTTTTCAGGTTGAGTTTTCTACAGATCATTTATATTTGTTGCGAGACATTGGTGTTGTATGTAATATAAGATTGGGAAGAGAAAAAGGGTGGTGGGTGGTGGCAAATAATATAAGTTCTTCTACTTAATTTGTGTGGGATTTTTTGGTGTCAGTGTCAACTGGATAGGTTTGCTTTTTATTTGCTTGTTACAGGACCTTGGTAGTGAGAGGGATTGGGAGGGCAGTGTGTGGTTGGTTGTCTGTGGCTGGTTGCAGTGTGGTTTCTTTGCAATTGTGATGGGAGGAAGGCTTAGAAAGCCAAAAGTATTTGGATGATGTCGGTGGGTTCTTGTTGTCGTCTTGTTGGGCTGTGTATGTGATAAAGGGGAGCCATACTGGGGTGAAGGCGTCCTCTTCTATTTGTCCCTGTATCAGTTTGTTTGCTCGCTTTCAGGTCGAGGGAGCCGGCGTTTGTCCACAGACAACTTTCTGGGTCATGTGGCCAGCATGACTAAACTGCTTCTGGTGCAATGGAACACCGTGACGGAAACCAGAGTGCACAGAAACACCATTTACCTTCCTGTTGCAGTGTTACTTATTTATCTACTTGCACTGGCGTGTTTTCGAACTGCTTGATTGGCAGGAGCTGGAACAGAGCAACCAGAGCTCATCTCATCATGGGGATTCGAACCGCCAAACATCTGATTGGCAAACCCAAGAGACTCAGTAGTTTAGACCACAGCATCATATTTTTTGTATTGTTCTATGGAGTATTGTTTAGTTAAGCTGTTGAATTAGTTTAAGGCATTTGTATTGTTTTATATAATGTTGCAGGACGCCGGTGGCGCTGTGTGTTAAACCACAGAGCCTAGGACTTGCCGATCAGAAGGTCGGTGGTTCAAATCCCCGCAAATTCCTATAACAGGGTGAGCTCCCATTGCTTGGTCCCTGCTCCTGCCAACCTAGCAGTTCAAAAGCACATCAAAGTGCAAGTAGATAAATAGGTACCCCTCCAGCGGGAAGGTAAATGGCATTTCCATGCACTGCTCTGGCTCACCAGAAGTGGCTTAGTCATGCTGGCCACATGACCCGGAAGCTGTATGCCGGCTCCCTCAGCCAACAAAGCGAGATGAGCACCACAACCCCAGAGTCGGTCACAGCTGGACCTAATGGTCGGGAGTCCCCTTACCTTTACTATATAATGTTGCATATTGTTTTTTATTTTTTGTTTTTACTTATGGTTATTTCTAATCATTTCTACCATGTTTTTTGAACTGTTGCTGTTGATTTGATATGTTATGAGCCTCTACAGGGATGATTTGATGGGAAGGAGATGCGGAAGGCATCAGACCCTGCAACACTCAGACTCCATTTGGCTCATAATTTGGCTCAGGAAATGTAGAAGCTACTGCCTCCCATAACTCAGGAGGAGCTTGCTGAGTCCTAATCAAAAGACTACCTTGATCTATTGCTTTTGCAGTTGCCAATTTTAGCTATTATTTCTCTCGTCTTATTATTTTAGGAGGAGCACTTCTTTCGAATGGATCAAGACATGCATATGTATTACCTGAAAGGTGAAGCAGGGATAACTGCAGTGCCTTAAGGGTTAGTCATAAAAATGACAAAGCAGAAGGCGAAAATACCAAAGATGGAATTCTTACTTATCTATGTACCATGATGGTATCTCTGCTGTTTCCAGTAGGCACAAAGAAAGAACATCGTGTACCTAGACAAGGGAGGTTGTTAAGGGCGCATAATCATAATAGTAATAAAATATATATATCCAAAAAGGGATGATAATTCTCTGACAGTTGCAGTCACACAATTACTTGCAATTTAATCGAAAATAGTACTCTTGTCATTTTCAGCCACTTGCAGAGAATGACAGATGGTAGTTCTGATCTAGTCAGTTCATAAAAAGATACCAACATAATGTGAAGATTATTAGAGCTTATAACAATGCTCACAGACCAGGGGAAGTGATTTGCTCCATGTGAATAATGCAGCAGTAAAAGTAACAAGTATATGATTGTTGATTTCATTTAGAACTATTAGTGGGGAAATTGCTACCACAAGGCAGTAACATATTGATAAATCCAATTTAACTCAGGAGGGCTTGCATCTGATTAACCATGCACAGGATTGCACTGGAAGGTCCCAATTCATGTTAATCACTTTTACCAAGAGAGCATATTTTGTGTGTTTCCCCAGAACCTTTTCCCATTTTGCCTGAAAATTTATTCAGATGCTGTTGGTGGGTTCTTGTTGTTGTTGTGGTGGTGGTGTTGTTCTGTGTATGTGATAAAGGGGAGCCATACTGGGGTGAAGGCGTCCTCTTCTATTTGTCCCTGCATCAGTTTCCAAACTGAATGTTGGAAGATTCAGGACAGATTTCGAAAAGTAGTCATGTAGTCTATAGTGAAACTATGAAACACAGTTCCAACGGAGGTGGTGATGGCTGCCATTTTGGATGGCTTTCATAGGCGCCAACTCTATGGGGCTGAGGGCAACTCAGCTCCCCACCCCACCCCAGTATGCAGTGATGAGGTTGAGCACCCCATTCTTGAAGGGCTGGCCCCACTGGGCCTACCCATGGCAGTGGAAGGCCTTGGCAGGCTTACCCACAGTGGCAGAGGGCCTTGCTGGGCCCTGTGGCCTCTTCCTGATGCACCTCTGACAGCTTTAAAAGAGAACTGGAAAAAATCATGCAAGATAAGGCAATCAATGGCTACCAACGATGATGGCTATGCCCTGCCTCCATGATTGGAGGCAGTAATGCTTTTGAATATCAGTTGTGTAGCCTTATTGGAATTCACTGATTGGGTCTGCGTTGCTCCGGGACAGGAGGAAGGAAGTCAAATGACACCTGAGGTTGATTCAAAGAAAGAGTTTATTCTGCTCTCCGGATAGCAGAAGACACTTGCGTGATCAAGTCCACAGCAAGTCCAAAGAAATGACAGGTTTCACACAGTTTATATATCCTCCAGGCACCCTCTCACTCCTCCCCTAGGAGCCCAACCACGTCGGCCTACGTACACAGGTTGACATCACATATGTTCCTGCTCTGGTACTCTCAACCATAAAAGGATCTTCCTTCCTGTACTTCTGACCATAAAAGGATCTTCCTCTTCCTACTCTTATCTGGGAAGACGTCATAATCTCCGGGAACACGCTTTTGGCGTTTCCCCCGGACATTGGTCTTGTGCGTATTTTGTGGTCAGCACATAAGATAAAGTTCTGACGTGTTTTCATTGTTCCCCTGGGGAGCCAAGGCCATCCCTTGCCTGTCCTGATAAAGGACAGAACTGTTTATGCAGTTGTGTCCTTATTATGGTTTTGCTCAACAGTTCAAGTTTTACACATTTAAAAGTGCTCTCTTTTGAAAGAACAAAAGGGGGGGGGTTGAGTCAGTTTTTAAACTTACTACACAGAAACCCATTCCTTCAGTTGATGAAAGCCGCAGGAGGGGCAAGTGATTATGTGCTTAAACCTTGTTTTCTCCCTGCCAGGCTTAGCAGAACAGCAGCAGCCCTATTCAGTGGCGTAGGAAGGTCAGGTGGTATCCGGTGCGGAAAATTTCTTGTCACCCCCCCCCCACATTGAAATCTAGTTGGACTCCCAAGAGACTGCGATCTACTCACAGTATAAAAATACTGACTGTGATCTACACATTGTCATTGTTGAGCTTTTTTAAGGGGAGGGTCGGCCAAAGTTGTTGAGTTTTTTGGGGGTTTACAGGGTTTGGATCCTGACTTGAAGGAGCTTCTGCTTCTCTCCTTCCCTCCACCCTCTGCTTGTTTACTCGCCAGCCTCCATCCCGCCATCTCCCTGCCTGCCTCCATGCCTCCTCCTGCAGCCTGGGAATGCAGGGCTGTCAAAACGAAGGGGAAAGGGGGGAAGGCCGCTGGCAAAGCGGCGCAACTCCCCCCTTCCCCCGACAGCTCGGGGCAGGCAGGAGTCGTGCACCAAATGTCACCCCCCTTGGTGATGACACCCAGGGTGACCCGCCCCCACTGCCCGCACCTTGCTCCACCCCTGGCCCTATTGCTTTATGAGGTTTGGATCTGGTGTAACTTTGTGCTGACTTAACATACGCCAGCTTCTTGGGCATAGGATTTCTCCCTTGATGGAAAGCTTGGGAAGGCTCCATTGACTAAGCTGCTATGATCTGCTACACGTGAGTGTTTGAGCTTATGAAATAAATAAATAAAATCTACTACCCTTCTGAGAAAAACCCCCCGCTTCACACTATATAGAAGGTTCTGGTGACTTCTGTTTCAGTGTACCTGAAGAAGCGTGCATGCACACAAAAGCATATACCCAGAACAAACTTAGTTGGTCTCTAAGATGCTACTGGACAATTTTATTATTATTATTATTATTATTATTTATTTCGACTGTGTCAGACCAACACGGCTTCATACCTGAGCTTATGAAGTTTCAGTATGTAGTATATTCACTGACCTTAAAGAAAATCCTAAAGGATTCTTCAAAATTCCATGGAAGACAAAAGTGTTTAGAGAGGGTGGGGAAATAAAGAGAAATCCTACAAATGTTTCCCTCAGAGTCATTTGAGGTCTGGGTTTCCCTCAACATGCAAAATGGAAAGCGTAACTATAATGAGCAAGAAGCAGAGCTTTAAATAAAAGCGACAGGGATGGGCTTCTTACAATGCCCTGCCTGTTCCACAAGAACAGTTACAGTAATTTGGGGATATTCATTTTCATTCTTACCAGCCTCTAATGGCAGAGGGGGCGGGGGGGGGTAAGAAGCAACAGGTTATTTAATTTAAATTTAAATGACTCTGTTACTCAAAATAGAGTTTACAGGAAAGCCTTTTGGAAAACTCCCATGGAATTTTTAATAGCACATTATACCAAATACGGTTATGAAGCATGAAAAGCTAATCAATGAATCTATCCACATTTTCCTCTTGGGCAAAAAAATAAAATAAAAAATGTGGGCATTGCATTGGATTCTAAATAAATAATGATGGGGACAGTGAAAATTCCTGAAAAACAAAAAAGACCAATTCAAACAAAAAAATGTAAAGGGGAAAGTGTCACATTCATTCACCTGAACACTTGCATGCAGAAGGCTGTATGTTTGCTGCTAACCTTTGTTCTTATGTCCTGGTTTCCACAGGGAGATGCATATGCGTCTGTATCAATATCTGTGGGGTTACTCTTTTCAGTAGCATACCAATATCTTTTTCTGCAATCCCTGAAGTGATGACATTGAAATTCAAGTTTCTCTGCCTGCCCTCTGTGACAAAAAGTTGGTTTTGCTGGATCAGTTGGATTTAAAAAAAAAAAAAAAAGGTTCCTTCTTTCCCTGCCAGCAAATGGTTATTGAACGGCAGCCTCTGATTGGCTGTGGTTTCAGGAGGGAGAGTTTTAAAGGAGAGGATTTGAGAGAAGTTAGAGTGAGGTTGGTTGAAGTGGGTTGGAATAGAGGTTGGAGATGTCGGGTGACAGATAGGGAGACAGGTTAGGAGACAGGTTGAGGTAGAAAGAGTGAAAGCAAGAAAGAGTTGGGAAGAAGAAGAAGAAGAAGAAGAAGAAGAAGAAGAAGAAGAATTTATAATAATTTATTATTTGTACCCCGCCCATCTGGCTGGGCTTCCCCAGCTACTCTGGGCGGCTTCCAAAAAAATATTAAAATACTGTAATACATCAAACATTAAAAGCTTCCCGAAGAAGAAGAAGAAGAAGAAGAAGAAGAAGAAGAAGAAGAAGAAGAAGAAGAAACTTCCACTCTGAGTGTATTGTGAAGGACAGAGTGTGGTGTCCTGTAGGAGGAATAGACCAGAAATTTTACTGGAAGGCAGAGGTTGAGCCAGGAGAAGTAGGAGCTAGAAAGGAACAGCCTACTTGGGACTCAAATCTAGTCTGGAGGGGAGATCTTCTAAGGAAAAGAAGAAACTCCCAAACCCAGTGAAGGGAGGGGTGTGTGGAGAGCCTTTGGGTCTATTGCTTAAGGTACCTCAGGAGCAGGATTGTTAAAAGGGGTGGATAACTGAAGGAAAGTATCACCGTATAAAGGAACCAAACTTATAATGCAAAAACAACTGAGGACGAATTAAAGTGTAATCGTACTGTATGCCTGAAGTAACCTAAGTTTAATCAATTTGTGTTATATACTATCTTGCCTTAAATAAATCTTTATTGTTTATTTAAAGAAAACCTGTCTGAGACTACAACTTACTAAATATCCCCTCACAAAGGTCGCCCGCAGGACACTCTGGGCTAGAATTTTAAGAGGAAAGGAAAAGAAACCTTCAGGTAAAGGGTTGTTCAGTGAGGTGGGGGCAATTTATCTAAGTGAGAGCGGGACCAAAGGTGTGAGAGGAAAAAGGGCTGTTGTGCCCGTGGCACCCTCTATTTCCCTAGCAGCTGCTTGTGGAACTACATTGCATACAGTGGTGCCCCGCAAGACGAATGCCTCGCAAGACGGAAAACCCGCTAGACGAAAGGGTTTTCCGTTTTGGAGGTGCTTCGCAAAACGAATTTTCTATGTGCTTGCTTCGCAAGACGAAAATGCCTTGCGAGTTCCTGCGGGGTTTTTTTCCTTTCCCCCCCCTTTTTCCCAAGCCGCTAAACCGCTTATCAGCTGATGGCTAAGCCGCTTATCAGCTGATCGTTAGCCGCTTATCAGCTGATCGTTAAGCCGCTTATCAGCTTATCGTTAAGCCGCTTATCAGCTGATCCACTAAGCCCGCTAAGCCGCTAATACAGTACTGTAGCACTAATC